TTGTTCAAAGAACGAATGGTCCCTTGAAGGGATATCTCCTATCAAAATAGACTTCACAGAAGTAGACTACATATCACGAAACACCAGTTTTCAATGAAAACTACTGGAACGATTGTGTTCGTTCGATGTTCTTCAGACCATTAGATAACTACAAAGACAGCTGTCTATAGAAATAAGAAGTAATTCAAAAAAGTACCAGCAATTCCCATATCAGAAGGTTACCACCCAAACTCCAGTTATTTTCTCCAGAATAAATCAGGAATTTCTGTGGGGTTTTTCATTTTCTGGAATTCGGCGGATTACGGTAATCTCTCACTCTATTTAAACACATCGTTATCTAGTCACGAGGCCTCCTATATATTTCAATTCTCGTGACTCTTATCTGAGAACAACTTAACGCTCCCTAGAGGATTGCCTGGGAAATCCATCACTGTTAAGAACAACAATGGACTTAGTAAAAATGATTTTTCTTTTGAAAAAATCTAATTCCCTTTTATGACTAATCCTTTGTCACCTAAATGGAAGGGTTGATTGGGGAAGCCGTCATTAAATGATTCACACTTTTGACAATGTCCCCCCTCCCCTCATTCGCCATTCACCTATACTGCTAGCTACACTTCTATGAGTCAGACTGTCCTGAAGTTGAAAAAAAAATCATTTTTAAATTACCCAGGGTTGGCGATTTGTGGACAAAACTTTGGTCTCGGACGGGACTCGAACTCGTTCATGAGCTCTGGGGCATCGTGCTCTTTATTCCTTATACTGCCAAGGCCCCGCCTGAACACATTTTAAAATGTTTTTGAATGCTGATGTTTTGTCGGATACAGAATTCCAGCGCATTATCAGATTTTAGCCGGTTACCCAGCACCCAAATGGGTCATCCCACAACTCGCTAAGACCGCCGTTCACCTTTTTCATGGCCATAAATTAGGAGAGTCGGGCCACCTATACGCGTCAAGCTAGAGCCTGTGCTTCCTTGTAGCAAAGCAATTGGTCCCAAGTCAGACTTTTCCAGCTGCAACTGAATAGGATTAGCCGCCTGGGACGCTCGTTCCAAAATGTAACATCAACGATTCCATGCGAAGGTTCCTCCTCCTTCAGTGGCTGCGACTTGTTTCCGCTGTCGGCGAATCTTACAACCACTAAGTAGGATCATTGAGTCCATTTGTGGTCGTAATAGCTCGTATTCTAGCTCGTCCTTTAATGGCGAGAATCCGATATACAACACAACAACAATCTGAACGGCAGTATTCATCGTTTACACTACACCAAGGCAGTTTTACTCGAGATGCTTGCTCAAAGATGATTCAAGCATCAACGTTCGACACAGAACTACATCACCATGCCTACGAGTGAATAAAAAGATGGGAAAACGTTGGTTCCAAACTGGGTAAATCCGATGATTCCACGAATGCCAAATTTGGCTAGGGAACGGAAAATTCGTTTGCGTGGAAAATCCCACAGGAACTGCGTTTTCACAGGAATTCTCTCGGGGCCCATCATCCCATTAGTCTCGCACTATTCGTTTCTTAGTCAGAATTACGATAGGAATGAAAACTAAAAAAGCGGTGACCTCCCAGCTCCAAGCCCAAAGGAAGCATTTCTAACTGCGCCGTCCCTTCATTGCTTACTGAAGGTTTTAAAATAAGGCAGACATAAGTACAAATCAAATTAAAAGAAAAAATCAGATAAGCAGTAATGAATGAATGGAGAATGGCAAGACTGATGCGATACTACATCAAAGTTGAAAATATGGAAAAAAAAACTGAGAAGTAAATGATAGCAAATAAATACATTAATGCTAATATATAGTAAAGTCTGCCTAAATAATAGAAGGTTCTGAGTAGCCTGATGAACCCTTACGGCAGCGATATTTACCAGCTAATAATAAACGCCTAGCCATGTGGTTCAGCCGCAAATGGCGCTCTATGACACATGCATAGCGACGGGATCGAATACAGGATCGATTTCGTCTGGGAGGATAAAAGTGTGAAGTGTACAAGTGAAAATTAGAACCCCATAGAAACTGCATGTCTTGTGTAAACATTTTATTTTGACGAACTACTTCTTTAGGAACAGCAAATTCAACCCCGAACTACCCGTATTTCAGTCATTTCCATAAAAATGAGGCCATGAGAGATCGGTGAAATGTGATCGTTCAGTTGTTTTTCGAAATCATCAATGAAATTTAAGAATTCTCAAAAAAATGTATGTCAGCCATCCGTCACTGCCTGACCCATAGAACAGAGCATTGACCAGCAACAATGTAACCCCTTTGAAAACTAACACGTGAAGATTCCTTTCTGCACTTTCTGCAAGTATGAGTTGAGCCATGCACCGTAGTAATGAAGATTAAGGCTACTATGGTATAAAGGGACCACCTTCCAACAGTCATTGACGACTATACTCACCACGAGCACGACGTCAAACCGAAATTTTCCCGGAAAGTTCAACATTCCAATCATATTGGCCCAAATAAGACTATCCTAACACAACACCTGGAGGAGGGGTGGGTGGGAGTTTGATGGCATCTAATAGCCATGGTGAATTCAGGGCCTAGCTCTAGCACAATTTCCTTTTTTTCCGAGAAACTTTGGAAACTCTTTTCTTGGAACCTATTCCCATACTGGCACTTTCATATGCATGAAAGGACAGTTTCGAAGAAAAGTGCTTCTGCACTCGGAATTGGAGCAGCCAGTAGTGCTTGCTGAAAAAACACAAATCCCTCTGAAAAAAAAAGTTCCAGGGCTGTGAGCGAGAGAGCTGTCCAAAGAAAAAACGCAACGCAGTTATTCAATTCATCATTCGACCATCATGAGGACTTTTTCTCTTTCTAGGGTTTGTAGCTAGAACTGACGTGACACCATTGCGCGAATGATCAGAAAGGACGAATTCCGAGGAGTTTGCAAGACCTCTGTTCCTGCAGTACCGGTGCTAATCCCTTCTTGGGGAAGATGTGACCACATTGTACATCTACTGGCTTCCGTTAGTCACTCAACATGCCATATAGGCCAAATTTTCTGATACCAAGTGATAATTTATCGTAATGATAGCGCAAAAAATCTAAATGTTGATATGACTGAGCAACATGTGCACCAAGAAGCATAAAGGCTTGGAAATAAAGTCTTAAAACTCTGCAAGACGTAGAAAAAAGAAGTGTAGAGTAAGTGGAGACAAATTAGGTAGGCAGTGGCGAGTGATCTACACTTGTAGATCATTTGTGTTTATAATAAAATCAGTAGAATGCCCTACTAATTAATCTGAAGAAATATGAAAAATAATGAAAACATATTCTATTAATAAATTTCGACATAAGATTTTCGATGCGCAAGGAGAGAAATGAAAAAATTGAGGACGTTCGTTTGTTCTTGATATCCAAACCTACGTACATTTAGAAACTACCAATGCCCTCTGCGGAAACAATTCACATCGGATTTCTCTACAGCTCTACATGCTCCCAAGCAGATGGCACAACCAGATATTTTCACTGACGCTTGGAACCACCCTTGAGAGCAGTTCAAACTCAGTAAATGATCTACAGGTGTAGATGATTTATCTTCTAACATAATAACTTTCTAAAAACGTTTTAAACAACTTGAATTGCTGTGAAACTGTTGAATTTGAGCATCAAATCATGTAGATATCAGAAAAACGTTTGCCTTCACACCCTTTGCTTCTCTACCAAGGATTACGGTAATGCTCAAAACATTATAGAAAAGAGATCTACAACTGTAGATCATTTTGGAGCCCTTAGCAGAATTCAATCAAGTAAAACTATGAATTTTTTAACGAAATTCTCTTCATTTTTTATTGTAAACTATTGATTCAACCTTTCATTTACAAATGAAGCAAATGATAAATTAATTGGAAGTAACAAGTATTACTCAATAGTATTCATTCTGCAGAAACACTTTCATCTCTTGAAACCAGTCTTGTCAGTTCCCCATCCAATCGTAACTTGTAAGCTTTCCCCTTGCAATCCCAACTCTTCATGAATCTGCTTCTTCTGCCTCGGTTTCTTCTGCCTCTAGTTCTTCAGCCTTACACCTTGCAACCATTCTTCACTCCGCCCCTTTCCCTCTGCCCTTGAGTTTAATGTTTCTATCTCATACAAACAATACTTCAAACATTCAATTGCCCTTGAGTCCGAGTACCCGAGACTGGTACGAAACTCTCATTTTTATTCAACAATTCACTAGGGGGCCCAATAAGGAAGGAACTGAAGCGGTCAGTCGGCGGCGCCAGGCGAAATGATGGATACTCTGAGTAAACACTGGCCACAATGGACAAACGAAGTCATGTGGATGTACTTTGAAAAGAATAGCCTTTCATCAAATTCAATAACTTAAATCATATGGAGCCCCAGAAGCATCCATTTTACTTGATGTTCAGGGTAGGGCCCAGTATTGGCAGTAAAGTTGTTCTCAAGCTTTAGAAAATCATCCCACGGAGGCTAATTACCCTATCCTGGACACAACGACGACATCGACGGGGATGAATACCCAAACCCTATCGGGGAGACTTTTCTCTCATACATACAGTCTGAAACCGGTCTCAGCACCCCATCACCGTTGTGTGTGTGGTGTGTCTCTTTCTCTCTGATAGGAACTCTTTCGATTGATCGGTGGCGGCTTGAGGGTTCACAGTCGCCATTACTCTTGAGTACATAGAACGTCCGGCCGGCCGGCCGCGGTAAAGGGCAAATGATCACATTACGCAGAGAACGATCGTCAAAATGAACGGAGGAACAGGAAATTAGAAAATAAAGGAATTCATAATGAAAAATCATCGGAAAAAAAGTTAAGAAAGTACTTGACTCACGCTTTCTTGATGGTCAATTCGTCAGAATTGGCTGCGATACCCAAAGTGGTATATGGTGATTCCTCTCGAGGAGGCATCCTGAAAATC